ATGTATGTATGCATGCATGCATAGATAGATAGATAGATACAATTTAAAATGTCTAACCAATACTGATACCTATAACAACCCAACCACTTTAATTCACACTTGACCCATCAGTATTAATACACTCCATTAAAAAAGAATCCAATACAATTAAAACCAACTGCATTGATCCTCTCACCTACCAACCTGTTTTGAAATGCATTCGCATGCGAGTTTGGTGTATTTCATAAACAACCCAGAGCATATTTAAAGCCTCTATCAAGGAAAATCGTTAAAAGCCAGTGCCAAAGCACATCAAAAATGTGTTCCAGTTCAACTGACGAACATGAGGAATGTTTTTAGTAGGCCAAATGCAAAAAAAGAAAAAAAGTAGATCACCAACTTGATTTGTGGGTCAGACTTTTAAAAAGTGAAAACTAGAATTGAAGGACAGAAGTAGAATCACATGGAAGTAGTCCATCACGCCACTAGTTTAACCTGATGCAAACCTGTTTTGTAAGGGTTAGGGTTATTTCTAAGAGTAAGTTGGAATCTGATGCTTTTTGCCATTAGTATAATTTTTCTGAAACACCATCTAAAAATCAGGTGCATTTTTCTGGACTTTCTAAATTCAGTGAGACCACAGCATGCAATTACATATAATAATGAATACAAAGCAAATGCAATAATTGAGAATGGTACACCCTTCACTTGACCCCAAGAAACAGCTCCTTCTGTTTTTGACAGTCAGCGACCTCATGACCTCATAAGCTCCTCCCCCATTCACTGTCAGCCTATAGAAAAAGAAAGAACATGTGCCTGCCTGTTTTTGACATACAGTAGTGATAATCTATGATTGTAGGTGTAATTAAACCCTTGATGTGCAGGATTTTCACCAAATCTATCTATCTATCTATCTATCTATCTATCTATCTATCTATCTATTTGTTTAGAGCTTCAGAACTTCATTACCCATCATCTCTCACTCCTGATGCGCGTTCAGTTAGGGGGCGGAGCTTCAGGGCTCCTGTGGAGGTGGTGAGAAAGCGGACAATGCTGTTCTTTTTAACTTTTTATTCATCAAAGAATCCTGAAAAAAGTATCACAGGTTCCAAAATAAAATAAAATAAATAAATAAATAAATATTAAGCAGCAACAGTTTCAACACTGATAAGAATTTAGCATATTATAATGATTTCTGAAGGATCATGTGACACTGAAGACTGGAGTAATTGCTGATGAAAATTCAGTGCTGCAATTAATTATAAATTATACATTTATTCATTACAGAAATAATTCATATTTTAAAGAATATTAAAATAGGAAACCAATAGAAATTGCAATAATATTTCACAATATTACTGTTTTTTCTGTA